TGAAGCAGAATTTACACTGCCCATGATTTAATCCATCTTCAATGAGCCTAAAACAAGAAGAAACCTCAGAAGCCATCAAAAGGTAGGGTAAGCAACACAGAGGTCAAGAAGCAACAAAAGAGAATTTGACATCACATTGTAGGTTCTTCAGCTGTAACTTGCAGTAATTATATGAAAACAGTGAAAAAAATTTAGGTAAAACATTGCTCATAGGTAAATTATAACTTTAAAGATAGAAGTAAGAAGAACAGTGTCAGGAAATCAGGAATCTGGCTCCCGGCATACATATAATATGCATAGTAGCTTAAAAGTAAAACAATAGAAGGAAGAAGAACAAAAGTGACTTTTAAAATACAACAAAGGATATAAATTTTTTTAATAAAGCATCTATGATAAACATATAATTCATAGCAACCTATGAGCATACATGACTTAGGAAGCATATTGTAACACATAAAACAAGATTATTGTCTTCAATTTTACTTGAGAAGCATCAATGGTTATACTTGTTTCATCCAAAACACAAATTAATCGCTTATGTCTCCAAAAGAATTAACCATGTAAAGGTCCATGATACCAACAGAATCAAAGATGATTACATGGTTTCATCCACCTATGTAAAAGAATTTAATAAGTAAAAAGGTGTCAGATTTCTGAACAACTCAAGCCGAACTTTCGATGCAATAAACCAAATCACTCACTAATGGCAAAGGTAACTTATGTTGTAGATAAATAATAGCCACTTCAACATCACTATAAGATGCCTCTACATTCTTAACACTGAAATTGGATAACATTTACTTAATTCCTTAAAGTTAATCAACGTGAGTGAACATCACCAACAGATTTAATGTACAGGACTTACCTCAGCTACATTGTGTCCTTGACGCCTTTTATCAACAATAGCAAGGGGTGCATCGGAGAGTTTTTTGGCAAAAGCTCTTGCCCTTGCTACACCCCCAACATCTGGCGATACCACAACCAGATCATCTGAACATATTATCTTGCTGGCAAGGTAATCAAGTATGACAGGCTGCAAGCATACATAAGCATTGAAAGCATATTAGTTAACTAAAAATCTGGAAGATAGGACTTTTTAATTTAACTAGAGTAAATCTGCTAAAAACTTGCGAAACATAAAAGTTAACCTGTTTGGCCATGCCAGTTTCACTCCAAATTCATGTTTTAGCCTGTTTTCACAAGTACAAATTCACAATAAGTGATATCTGTTCCACTACCTGCCCATGGACGTGGTCAATAGGTATGTCGAAGTAGCCCATTGATTGCCCAGAATGAAGATCGCAAGCAAGAACACGGTCTGCACCTGCTTCAGTAATCAGATTTGCAACAAGTTTGGCTGCAATTGATTCACGCCCTTGACTCTGAAAGAGAAGCAGATGTACCCAACACATGATTTTAGAGGAAAACCACTATAGCAATCAGCTTATAACAATTCATGGCATCCATGACTATTTTGTTTCAGCGAGTCAGCCAATCTTTCTAGGACAACTTTGGGCAGATTCCCAGGGCTCTCAAACCCCCTCCTCAAGTTCACAAGAATAAATACTCCTGAATGTCCATAAATGAAATCCAAGTATCTCCTTCTTACTACTTCCTCTACATTAATCAATTATTTTTCTTTGCAAGCAATAATCAGAATATAACTTTATGCTAGAAGGAAAATCAACTTAAAAACAGCATCAACTACCTGCACTAATGAAAAGTGCAGTGAATCAAAACCTAATCGAATAGATATTCAATCCCAATCTATCATGCTAAGAAGACATAAGATTTGCAAGACCATCATTACCTAATCACGAGGGAATGAACGGAAAATGTAACGTGATTGACGAATCTCATTGCAATTTATTTAAGAGTTAATTACGGTGTTGGTACCTTACATCTTTTAGCATTCTGTCAAAGCTAGGTAAGAGAGTATATTCTAGATCTCAACACCTTTGAATGACTGAATAGCAAGAAATAACAACATGCCCTCCATGAATCTTATTGCTTAGTTTTACTGCTTTTATTAAGTGTTCACGTCTAATTGCACCTAGATCACATCATTATCTATTTCGAGCTGCCTTAATGTAAACTCACCTTACGGTCAGCCCTGGCATAACCAAAATAAGGGATCACAGCAGTTATGGCTTTTGCAGAAGCCCTCCGACAAGCATCGATCATTATCAAGAGCTCCATAAGATTTTCATTTGCTGGAGGACAGGTTGGTTGCACAAGATATACATCGCATCCTCTGACACTGTCTTGTAATTGAACATAAATCTCACCATCAGCAAAACGCTTTATCTTAATTTTTCCGAGCTCGAGACCCATGTAGCAAGCAATTTCCTGTAAAATACAATGTCCTATATGAAATATAGCTAGCAATCTTCGGGTCTGTTTGTTTCAACTGAAAAGATTTTCCAGAAAATATTTTCCATGATTTCTGCAGTTTGGTTCAATTTAGCGCCAAGAAAATGATTTCTCTGGTAAAATCTTTCCATAAGTGGGCATAAAATAACTTCACTTATAAACTTACTCAAGTTATTTTCCACCCTTTAATCCTGTCCCTTTTGGCCTTAGTTACCTTCATCAACATAAGAAGTAAAAGGCCCATGGGAAACAGTTCCGGTGGGATTGTCCGACATCTGTCGGCAAAACATCGAGCCTTCCCCACCACCCACCTCTTTTCATTCCATGTTATTCCTCCTCTCACATAAATGCAATCCAACCTATTGCACATCCCATTGCATCTGCGTTGGACTTACAGAAACAATTAAGATCTATGGAAACACGAAGGATCTAGAGAGACAATACAAGGAGATTGGTGACATAAAGAAAGAAGAGATCTCAGAGAAACTTTTACAGGAGGGAGAAAGTCTTTTAAGATTGGCCACAGAGGAGAAAGATGAACTAATTCTATATATCACTAACAGCGTCCAGCTTTTGCTTTGAAAATTTCAATCTGAGATCCTCTAGATCTTTGGAAGAATTTTGGCGGTAAAATATTCTTGTGAGAATTGGTTTTATTTCATTGTCATCTTCAATATCTTATGAATGGTTATGGATGAGTTGGAAAACTGACATTGATCATTCATGTAGCTATTGCTTTGATCTCTTCTTGGTCAGAGAATGATGGCAGGGGTGGTGCATGTGGTGGAGGAAAGTTTTTTGTGGTGGAGACGATAGAGGAATGGTGCAGACGGCCGATGGGAGAGGACTTCTTGATATGGTGAGGAATTGAATTAATTACTCATGACGATAAATGTTTACCAAAAGTAACCAAACAGATGAAAATTAGAAAGAAAACTTTTTCGAGAAAAAAGATTTCCAACAAAATTATTATCCCAAAGAAAATATTTTACATCCTACCAAACAGACACTTAAAGCATGAACCATTCCCAAACCCTTTCATCTCTAAGAAATAACTGTACCCCCCAAAAAAAAAAGTTGAAATCAACAATAATAAATATGAAAAATTCACAAACTGCTGTACATGAAGTCAATAGATCAGAATAAAGGCTGATTCTTTCTACTTTGCAATTCAACAAAAAAGTTTGCATAGAATGAAAGGAGAAGATAATTCTATGCCTAGCTCTTTATCACTCTCAAAAGTGGTAACATTTAACTATCCATTACTGCCTGTCCCCATGAACTCAAACATGAACATTGCACGTTTTGGAGGGCATAGATGACTACTTCAACTTCAATACTTAATAAATTAGACCTTCAAATTAGCAGTATAAGGCATGGTTAAACAATAAGAACAAAAATACGAACTTCCAAGTCTTCAATATGAAATTGATGCCCCACTTAATAATCTGGAGTACTCTTTGGTTCATTTTGGTTATAAGCCCTTTGACATTCCAAAAAGGCAATTGCTTTGCATGACTCACTAACCTGAGCAAGTAAAGGATTGGCAGTCCCAGAGAAGATCTTGAGCCTGGTATCACTTTTCTGAACTGGGATTCTTTCAATATGAGTGGAAGTTAAAAAACTTGGAAAGGATGCAGTTTGCTCCCCGTTGGCAAGAGGCATCACTGGTTTTCCATTGTCCTTAAATTTCAATGGCTCTGCCACATTACACCTCTACAAATACGAGAAGACCATACATAAATCAAAACCCACTATAATTTTTCAAGTAATAACTCCACTATGCTTACAATTCAGTTCAATCAATACAGAAAATAATGAATGAATCAGTGCATGGACAAACTGTACATAAAAGCGTGACGCTTTTTATATTAGGTCTTAGTTGGAACATGCATAAGAAAGGAGGAGAAGATGAGGAATACTTACAATCAAGAAGCGGTTTGTGGGAGAAGAAAATGGAAAACGAGGATTTGGTTGAGCTACAAGACCTCCTGGGAAGGCCAAGGAGGCCATCATTTTCCCCTCTGAATTTAGTTGGTAATCTTGAAGAATGAAAAAGAGGCTATAGGTAGCTGGGGGTTTTAGGGGGAATAAGCCAGAAATGAGAAATAGGCGTTAGGGAACCTTAAAATATCCAGTGGACTGGGAGGATTTCTGTGTCACTCTTTTGTTTTCCTCGCGAGGGAAACATGTCTAAATGGAGAACAATAAAATTTAGGACTTCAACTGGTAAGTTACGATTATTTTATGCTTGAAATTTTAGAAACAATGATGAATGAAGTGCCTTTCTTCATAGGTGACGATTTGACATTCACAAAGCAAAACAAATTGGTCCCAAATGGTCCCGACATGGATATATAAATTTTTGAAAAATGTTAATCTCACTCTACAAAATTGGTCCCAAATGGTCCAGACATGGATATATACATTTCTTGCCTTTTTTAACATATATAGTAAATGTGTGAATGCCCAATCCCTCCAATTGAATCCAATTGCTGACGTGGCACGCTGTGATTGACCGATTGATGGTAGTCCTCCGTTGATTGAGCTGATGAATTGAATTGAGGACAAAATCGAGATTTCACCTGCTTCTTGGATAGATAGGGTTCTTGAGAGTCTTCGCTTGTGCCGCTCATTGTGTTTCTTGCTTTTGCTCCGTCGCTTTCTTCCTTTCTTCTCAGGTTCTTTCTCCCTTCCTTCCTCTTTCTCTGTTTTTCACTTCTTCTCTTTCTTCTTTAATTGACTATTAAATAACAGTGCAGCACAAAATAGAGGTCACACGTTGGTCTTCTTCTTACAAGTTAAAGGGTATTTCCTTTCGTTTTTTTTTTCTTTCTTAATTACCTTAACTTTCATTTTTATTTTTTTTTACAATCTTTCTCTGTATAGCTTTTTATTTTTTATCCTTTTATGAAAGTATCTATTTACCATCTATTTTGTTGCTACCGTCTTTTCTTCTATTGTTTGGATTTACAGGTTCGCATGGTAGCGGTTTCATCTTCTTGCTCAAGTATTTCGCTCTATTTTCTCTTACTGCTACTTTTTCTTTTTATTTTGAATATCTCCCCTCCTAGATCTTTCTTTTTTCTTCAATAATTTTTTTTTACCATCCAAAAATTATCTATCGTTGTTGTAATTTTTTCAGAGATGTCTTTTTTTTAAAGATCTCTGGTTGTTGGTACTTTTAAACGGGAGTTCAATTTCTTTTTTTGTTAGTTTGTTCTACACATACAGAGTTTATGAATCTAGGGAAGTTGGGATGAATTTTAAGTATTTGATATTTTTTTTGCAATATCATTAAAATGTTTAGATCATTATTTCACTTGTGTTTTTTTTTTGCTAGAGTGTCATTATTTAACTTGGCTTAGTGTCTTTATAGCTCGACATATTACCGTTGCTTGGGTAAACATTTTAGTTTTAGGAATCAGTGTTTTTTAATTGCCTTGAAGATTGCAGGGTGTAAAAAACACTTATTTATGGCGATATATTCACCAAGATTTAGTTCTACCTTTTTTTGGGAAGTCATTTACTTTATTCATATATAGAGGAGATTTTTGTTGTGCCTATAGCACAGCATATGGTAGCACAGGCGTAATGTGGACAAGATTTGCTTCAAATAGGAAGATTTTGTCTAGGAAAAAAATCATATGATTTGCTTTAGTTTTTATTTAACATGCATTTGCATTATATTTCAGGTTTGAATCTGCAGTTTGCAGTTGATGTTTTTAGAGATTTTAATAGTTCAGGTTCCAATCTCGGTCCTCCTTTATGTTTTGCATACTGTTTAGACAGAACTATCCAAAAGAAAGAGAGGTTTAGCTGGTTGGAATTCATCATATGCGGAACTTGATGGTTTTGTTTTGTTTTTGATAAAAAAATCTGGATTTGTTTTTCTTTTCCCTTTTCTGGTTTTTTCAGTTGGCGTTTTCTTTAATTTTGGTTTCTTAATCAATTTGCTTGATTAAGCTAGAATAATAGTGCATGCATGCATGTCTATTGTAGTGCATGTTTGCACATCTTATACTAATTATATACAATTGCATGTCTTCTTGAACAATCATGAACTCACATGTGAAATTGATCATTGGCCAAAGTTTCGACTTACCAAAGGCATCTTGTGATGATACGTATTTTAATGACTATTTGTTAATAATTGTTCTTATAGTACAGAAAATTATAAGTCTCTTAGTAAAATTTGTTGACAGTTTATATAGTGAATCTCAAGTTGATAAATTGTCGAAGTTCTTTCTACAAATTTTTTTGTTATAATAGCAATTTTAATTGATTTTTTGTGTTTGTAGGCAGTCAAAGGTTTGCCCAAGGATAGGAAATCTCTATCAGATGCTGGGCAGTGGCTTGAAGCAGTGAGTAAATTAACAATTTGATTAAAGACTTTAAATCATATCATTAACTAGAAAATGGATCAAGTTACTGCATAGCTATAGTTTTGTCCCTTGTTATTTTGCACTAATTAGTTGGATAATTTCTTACTTTTGCTTCCGTTAAAAAGTGAATTAAAATCTTATCTTTACTTCGCTGACCTATTTCAATTTAATTCGTCTTACCTATTTCAATCTTTTGTGATTACGGATATAGATCCATGCTTGAGAAAAAGACAAATGAATGACTTCATATTACCTATTTCAATGTGATTGTATATTTCCTTTTGTAGACAGCATATAGTGGTCCAAATCCTTTCACAGATTCACCTGGCATGCAATAAAATTAGCTTTAAAAGTTTTTTTTTTTGAGTTTAACTATTTGCTATTTTGAGTTTTAGATCATTGTTGTCTTCTGACATTGCAAATTACTTTTTTTTTGGTAACTTCTAAAAGTCACATTAGGGACTAGGGGTTGCCCTACTGCATTGATATGAACTGGATTTAAAACTTTGGAAATGCATTCATATGTTTAGTGCTTAATGCCATTTATGGTTTGGCATAACAAATTCTTCAGTTCCTGCTAATCCTCAGGCTTTGTTGCTATTGTTTTGCTTCATATTGTGTTTTCACATACCCTATGCTAGATTTGATGGTCTAATAGATTAATTATAATTATCTTTTATGCTCTAATATGTTCCAAATGTTTATTACAAGATATTAAGATATGCAACAAAGTACAAAGGATTGGAGAAATTCTTTTTTCAAAGTGCACCTTTATTTAGGTTCTTTGTTTTTATCCCCTGAGAAAAAGTTAATCTAATTTGATTTAGTATTTTTCTTGATAGGACTTATCAATATCTATCTTATGAATCTTTGTTGTACAAACTAACCAATTGCTTTCTGCCTAGGGGCAGTTTTTGCTTAATACGACTAATATAAATGGTTTTGATGCTTGTAGGTAGTAAAATATTTGCTGAAGGAGAAGTACCAAATATTAGATTTTTGGTACAGGCTAGGAAGTGGTAAGTAAATTACCATTTTTTTAGAAGTATTAAATTATGCATTTATGCTTGGAGTGGTCATTGATCGCATTACAATATTTAAATTACCATTCTTGGAGTATGAAATTTTGTGAAGGTACCACGTTTCCTTTAGATTTAGAGTCAGTTTCTTTAGTATTTTACCTATTTTAGTAAATTCATCAATAAGAGGTTGCAAGTTGAGGTTTAATAGCATTTGCTTTCACCCTATTTCATTGAAAGTTATGATTACTGATGAAATCATTATAAATTTTTTCTCTGCTTTGATGGTGTCATTTTTGAATTACTCTTTAGACGTAGTAATTTCTAAGAAAATGATGTACATTGACTGATTGTAGCTTTTGTTACTTGCTGTCCTATCCTCGGAATGATGTTAACTGAAATGGCTAAAAGAACCTCTAAGATAAGATCTTTGTATATAGAAAAAGAATGTTCATGTACTGCATCCCAGTTGTAAGTGTAAATAGTGTTGCCCTAAATTTCTAGCCAAATTGTGTATAACTGGGGAATGATCAAAATGGTGGTGATTACCCCTTAGCTTCTCCACCTTTTCTCAATTAGACAACTAGAATTTTCCAAGACTTTTATGTAAAAAAGAAAATTAAAATCTCAGAATTACAAAGAGAATAAAATTGCTTTTCCGGATTTAAAAAATAAACTCTTAACAAATACCAAGCTAATATATTAAAATTTCTTTGTAGCTTTTGCTTGAATCTTTTGGAGCTTTTTAAGAAAGAAGAGAAAATTTTCTTTTAGTTAAATTGATGCCCTATGTTCATTCATGTTGTCTGGGTGAAAATGTGGCATGAATGAAATATATCTACATGATTTATAGGCTAAAATGCATGTGTTGTTTTTGGTTTTCTGTTCTTTATTTATTTACCTAGAATTCATGTTTGAGAAAAAATTGGTTGGCAAGAGGTATTTATCCAAATATGATGGTGGCTCAGAATGCATCTGTTGTTTATTAGCTTTCTATTCTTTATTTATATATCCAACATTAATGTTTGAGAAAAAGTTGAATGGCAAGAGGTATTATTCAAATATAATGGTGGCTCAAACTTAGGAGTAGGGAATGTGTTCTTGACGACTTTGTTTTATATTTCATGCTTTAGTATTTCCTTAAAATTTTGCAATGAAGTGTGGCAAAAACTGCGGGTACGTTACCTATGATTTAACAAGATTGTCATTCTACTATTTATACAAAATGTTACTAAATTCTAATATAATTCATTCTTGGCAGATCTAATTGATATTTAGATAGCTGGAACTTGGAAGCAAATGGAAGCTCATGGAGTTTTGTCATGAATGCTTGATGCTTTGTTTTCTCCTTTCCAATATCTTTAGCAAAATTCATTATTTACTTCAACAGCCACTTGTTATAGTATAGATGATTTTTTTTTTTTGGGTTCTTCACCACTAATACATAGTTCCACTAGAACTGGCTGATTGAACGTAATGCTAGATAAGAAAAGACGAGAGGCAATTCTAGATATAGTAGTCTGTACTTTGGGATGAATGTATCTTATGTTTTAAATTGTAACTTTTCACAGGTAATGAGATACATCGTACAATCGGAGAGTTTACCTCAATTATGTGTTATTATGCTCTTCAACTTTATTAGTATTATTTCTTTCCTTAATTGAAATGTCGACAAAATGCTTCATTATCTACCACATACAGAAAATGATAAAAAAATAATTTTTGATTGGAAAAATACAATCAATGAGGGCTATGGGCATATTAGCCTTGTAAAATCCCACTGGGCATATTGAACTGGTAACTTCACACCGCACATAGTGCGGTGATCCTCTCCTAGTCTCATAACATCGGGTATTGTAAACTTTATCTCAATATTTGTTTTTAATGCACCTTAATTGTTGTTCCCTTGCATGGATTTTCTTTTTTCCAGCTAAAGTTAACTGCTGTGATTGCTATTGCTTTAATTGTGCATTAATTATGGGGTTTTAGCTACATTCATATTCTTAACAATAGGCTTGCATGTAATTTTTACGTTTGCCAATTTCGGATAATAACTCATGGCCTGTTAGTTTTCTATTTTTGGTTCCTATTTAGAGGGCTTGAGTTAGTTCATATGGTTTAATAATCTCATTCTTTCCATGAGTTTACCTACATAAGAACAATAGGGATTAGTATAGTTTTAGCTTCCACCTTTCATCTGGGAAAATGTCGTCAAACTGGCTCTAATTGCTGACAACAAAAGAAATGAGAACATCTTGGCTATAACATGTTTATGTGCTTAGGTATAGACATAAACATGTTGTTGTGTAAATCTTCCTTCCATAATTGTGAAGAATTCAACGTTCTACTTCCATCACATTATTCCGGCTCTCACCTTTCACGTTTGTACACAATGAAATGCCCTTTCCTTATTTTTCTAGAATCATCCATATTAGCTTATTTTTTGTCGAAATTGCTTGGGGACAGCTTTGCTGACTTTTTTTTTTTTTTTTTCATATTCTGAACGTAAGCACTTGTTCCCCCAACCTGACTATATTGTATGCCTCACATTTATTTTTCGTGTTGGAGGATTATGTTTGCTACATTGGTTATCCAACTTGATTTTGAGGTCGCTGATTGAGGTGATCCTTTGTAGAAGTTTAGTGCAACTACATGCCCACCGTTACTCTGCATGCTTGGAAGGAAATGTCGTAATCGCACCTTGTCTATTTTTTTCATGACTCTATGGATACTTAATTGCTCATAGTTTTCTTTAACTGCTGCCAACTTTGCAAAGAAGTAGGGTACTTAGCAGTTGTTCTTCGCAGTCGGTTTGGGGAAAAAATGATCTGCAGTTGTGCATCACTAACTACTTCAAGGTAAGCTGGGAAGAAAATTGTGACAGCCCCACCTCTCCCTAAGGCGAACCAAAGGGTTTGGCGGACCGCCTGTCCAACTCTTGCTGGGACTCAGTCATTCACTACAGTCCTCAATTGAATTACAATATAAATCTCAAATATATATCAAATTCTCCAAGAATTACATATCATAAGCGAAGCGGAAACTAATTCTAAGCGTGGAACGTACATATACATCCACTTCAATTCCTAACAGTCACACTAACCCAACTATTACACAAAATGCATCCAAATCTGAACTGTACAAGATATATGCCATCCAGTCACACAAATAACGGAATACAAGCGCTTCCTTTGTCTCGATCCCTGTGGGGAGAAGAAAACATTTGGGGTGAGCTAGAAGCTCAACGAGTGAACAGTAAAATCAGAAATCAAATAAGCTTTACAATAGTGCATTTAAATGATATCAAGAATTAGTGATCAAATGTACGTATATTGCTCTTTGGAGCTAGTGAAATCCTTGTACTTAAATATCCAACACTCCCCTAAATCAAGTAACAGATAAACAGAAATAAGGAGCCGTCGTACTCCAAAGAATGCGTAAACAGTAGTGGAGACGTTGGTTCTAAGCACAAGATTTTTCCAAGAACTCATTGGAGCCAAAATGTCATGGCACACACACATACACAATGATATGCAATTGTGTAATCAATGCAAGAATTATTTCAAAAGTAACTTTTGGAAATAGTTGAGGAATCACTCACCAACCACGGCTCACGAACCTTATCCAGCATACATCATTGCCTTGCTCAAGTCGAAACCCTAGATTACAAATATTAGGTTAAGCAAGGGAATTCTAATATTATCAAGCTTCTATCATCTTTTGGCATTTTAATCACAATTGAATCTACACTTATCCGATTAAAACAAATCTTATGGCGTTACAAAGCTAAGACATATACCAACATTTCTTATAAAGACCTCCAAGGCCAACTCATACATATTCGGGGTCAAAAACCGAATCTTAGAGAGAAAACGAAAACTGTCATGAAACAAGGGTTATGAGCAGTCAAGGGTATTTCGGTCATTTCACAGGCTACCGTGCTCCAATAAATCTGAAATTTTGCAGGTAGACAGTTAACTCAAGTATCTACAATTTTCATGTTTTGAGCAAGGGCCGATTCAGTCTCTCTCAAGGTCAAACATACGGTGCAAAAACAGGGCAGATTACTACCTCAATTGGAAACCCTAATCCGGAATTCATGTACTCTAGCTGAAATTCCTTTAGGTAATCCAAACTAGCGTACCAAAGCTTCCTTTATCACAATATCAAGCTATCATGTTATGAACAACCACTACTTATCACGTGAGGGCAGAAATAATTACCGTAAAACTGAAATTACATTTCTAAACTAATATTTGCATATAACCATCACTAATTACGACTAAGGCTAGGAATTCCACCATATAACACTAGAATAGCTTATTACTCATATACATGCCAAAAATCGAAGAGGAAATAACTTAGATAAAGTCTAGAAATATCACTAATATGGAACTTATCCTCCCAATTTCCGAATCACAAGAATTTCCATAAAATTAATCGAGATCAACTCAAATTCGAAACAATCAAATATTCTCAAAGATTGGACAACACTTCCCCTTAATTTCTTTATTTTCCATCCTACAAACAATCACCAAATCTCATAGCAATTAACCACAATCACACATACGATTCATAAACAATAAAACACATCCAATTAGGGCCACAATACCCTTCAATCAAAGCCAATTAGAAGCTTAAGAGTCAACCATAAGAAAAACCCAGATTAAACCCTAAAACCGGAAATTTCCGCACAAACCAGAAATTTTTCGCAAATAACCATAATTAACGCACAAAAGCTCCATTTAACACCATCTTAATCCATCAATCCAAGACCAACCCATGATTATCACATAAAATCAGAAAAAACACTAATAAATCTAAAATTTAGCAAAAGTCTACTTTCAACCCTAAATCTTCCACAAACCCACATATTTAGCTACTATAAGTCTCTAATACACCATTATTAGAACAAAACGGAATTTCTTACACTCACCTTAGGAGCTCAAGAAAGATAGCATCTTAGAGCTTTCTTTTCAAAAACCACTCCATCACAAAGCTTGCAAACACCTTAGATAAGAAGTAAGTCGGAATACTTTGCAAAATAAAAGGTTAAATCTCAAGATTTTGGCAAAGATTGAAATTAGGAAATTTTAGAACTTCTCCCTTTTCTCTCCATGAAGCTCGGTCAAGCAAGGAGCAAAATGAAGATATTTTGGGCTAAAAAGTAGGATAAGAATGAAGGAAACAGCCGGTCAAAACTGGTGATCGACTGTGACACGTCACAATCCAGCCGGAATCTGGCCGGATTTCCTGCCAGATTCAGGCCAGAGACGAAATAAAGTTTTTTTTCAAAACCCAACAACAATCCGGCCAAGAACTGGCCGGATTTGGCCCTTCCTCTTTTCACAAAATTTTTCATTTCTTTTCCTAGTTCAAAAGCCGCGCTCATCCGCTCTTCCAACTCATAGACACATACACATATCTCACATCACACGTTCACATATATGCAATGAAAACCCTTCTTCTTTCGGGGCGTCACAAAAATCCTATACTTACTCAGGTTGATTGAATGCCTCCAATCAGTTATAGAGCAATTTGACTTTACCCTAAGAGCTAAGTGTTTTTTTTTTCTGGTTTTGCCATCCCAAACAAAAAAAATGATGACTCGAGCAAAGTATTCAGAACGTAACATTTTTACTTCCAAACATGAAATTCAATTTGCCCAATATCTTATCAATATGCATAAGAAGGGAGAAATATCCGCTCATAACATCGGGAGTCTTGTCGTCTCCAAAATTACTAGCATGTTAATGAATCATTTGGTACTTCATTTCTCCACAACACTATAAGGTCAAAGTACCATGCCCTGTAAAGCTTGACCAGACTGTATATTTCATTTAAGAGACGTGGCACTAGTATGGGTAGGGACTCTACCAACTACACTTTCATGATAGACGTTGGCTGCTGGAGAGATCTACTTCAGGTAGCATAACCTTCTCTGATTTTTTCTTTTTAAATCAGTCCATTTATTCCCCCTAACTTTTGCGCCTGCCTTTTTCCAATAAGTATCTCGCTAACAGCCTTAACATTTATACATTATGAAGACTAGCTGTATTGGGTGTAGATGAATAAGGGCTACAGAAGATTTTATGATAGATCATGCATCGCCTTCCATTTACTTGAAGAAGTGTTTATGAATCAAGGGGTTACTGGGGACTACAGCACTTAACATGAACAATCACCCCCCAACTCGGAAGAGGAGTTGGAAATGGAGAATGCTACGAGAGGTGCTAGGGGAAAGGATTTTATAGACATTAGTTTATCGTACGAAAATATTACAGTACAAATGACTAAGAAAGGGAAAGGAAAAGTGAAGAAGGGCAAAGAAAAGCGCAAATCAGGCGACATGTCAATCGAGTCAGTCTTCTCAGGTTCATCAAGCCAATTCCAACAGTACATCTGTATTCTAGACAGCATTGAGACCCATTTGAGTTGCAAAAAGAGCAATATGAGTGATTCGATCTTTTTACCATCGAAGACTGCACATTGTCCTTTGAATGCTAATTTTGAGCTAAAAGCTACCTTGGCAGAGCTCTGCGCCTTGAACCTAGACATAAATGTGCATCTGAAGGTTGTAGATGTATTAAAGGACCCTTCAGAGTA